ACTGCACTTGATTTGTTTTCTGCCAGAGCAAGGGCTGCCGTGGCTGGGGAGCTCTCAGGGCCTCTCTCTGTATGAAGCAACCTCCGCAGCAAAGCATCGCACGCCGGGGGCATCGCTTCGGAGACTCCCCAAAGCCCTGGCAGAGCCCGCCTGAGCCGTGGGGTCGCTCCCGTCCCCGGCCGGGGGCTGGCAGGCAGCAGGGCTGCCTTGGTCCGCGGCTGCACTGCAAACCAAGGCAAGACTCGCTCCGGCTCGGCGCGTGGACCCCGCTCCCACCACACACACCTCTGCGCCCGGCCAGCGGCTGAGAAGGGCCATGCCAGACTGGGTGCAGGGAAACCTTTGCTTTCTGTGATCAAACTCAGCTGGAGAAGAGACAGAGCCTGGCTGGCTGCTGCGGGGCCTGAGCCTCCAAGAGAAGACTGTAGCCTCATGTGCCCCAGCTCCTGCGAGAGACTGCGTTTGGTGCAGCCCCAGAGGAGAGCCCAGATTTGGGAGGTCACCGCCAGCCTTCACCCGCAGCCAGAGGGATCACAGGAACTTGACCCAGGAGCAGTCCTGGCCACTCTCAACCCCGTGCGTCCTGTGGCCAAGCCTTCAAACCACAGGGGTCTGCCCTCCACCCTGCCAGGGCTCAGTGTAAGGTCTGGGCTCACTCAGGATTGTGTTCACATCCATACAGAACCACAGAATCCTCTGTGCTGGAAAAGCCCCTGCAGCTTCTCCACCCAACCATGACCCTCCCCCTGACCCTTCCCAACTCCCCCAGACCCCTCAGCGCTGGCTCAGCCCGACTCTTCAACCCCTCCAGGGATCCCGGGGACTCCCCCCTGCCCTGGGCAGCCCATTCCAACGCCCAACAGCCCCTTCTGCACAGAAATCCTTCCTCAGAGCCAGCCTGACCCTGCCCTGGGCAGCTTGAGGCCATTCCCTCGGGGCCTGGCGCTGGGGCCTTGGCTCCAGAGACTCATCCCCCCTCTCTGCCCCCTCCTGGCAGGGAGTTGCCGAGGGCCAGGAGGTCTCCCCTCAGCCTCCTCTTCTCCAGACTGAACCCCCCCAGTTCCCCCAGCCGCTCCCCAGCAGACCTGTGCTCCAGACCCTGCCCCAGCTCCGTTGCCCTTCTCTGGCCACGCTCGAGTCATTCAATGGCCTTTTTGGGGTGAGGGGCCCAGAACTGAACCCAGGAATCGAGGGGCGGCCTCCCCAGTGCCGAGCCCAGGGCTCAGATCCCTTCCCTGTCCCTGCTGGCCACGCCAGTGCTGACACCAGCCAGGATGCTGTTGCCCTCCTTGGCCCCCTGGGCACACTGCTGGCTCCTGTTCACCCATGAAAGAGCCCGTCATAAAGACCGGCCCAAGCCCTGTCAGCAGCAGCATGCAGTAAGAAAACCCTGGCCGAGGGGCAGCCTGATTAGTCAGCCAGCTGATTAGCACCAGGTAATGACGGAAACTCTGCAAATCCCCGCAGGTGAAGCCTCCTGAGCCCCGAGGTGCCCAGGCAGCCCACCCGAGGAGCCCTGGTTGTGAGCGCCAGCCCATCCATCTGTCCTTGGTGTGAAAAAAACATCGATAAACCACGTTGCCCTTTGAATACCTGCAGCAGCCGGAAAATGAGAGACGCCGGAGGAAGGCTGAGCAAACGAACCCCGTCTCTCCTGAAGGGCCAACTGTAAGCCGCTGTTTTCGCAGCGCAGGAGCCGGGGGTGGGAGGAGCAGTTAATGTTTTCCCAGCGAGGGGAAACTTCCAGGTGGAAATAGCGTTGTGCCCTGGAAACGGAGCCCTTCTCCAAACAGGGCAGGGCCTGTGCGGCCTCATCTCAGCTGGGGGCTCCGCAGCAGAGAACCGCTCCCAGCAAAGCCCGGCCTGAGCGCGCAGGGATGCTGAGCTCAGCCACACAGCGGTTCCTGCATGGGTGGGCTCCCCAAAAAGCTCTCCCCGTGCCCTCCCTGCTGCCCGTCCTTCTGCCTGCATGCTGCCCACGAGTACCCGCTGGCCCCGGGGCAGGGAAGGAGCAGGAGTGCAGGGGCAGGGAGAAAGCAGAGTCCTCTGGGTGGGGAAAAAGCTGAACTGAGACGGGAACAGCGGGGCTCTGATACGCAGGAAATAAGAGAGAAAAGGCTCGAAAGAGGCTTAAAGAGCAGCTCCCTGCTGATGACAGAAGGAAGATCTGTACTGCTGACACAAAGAGAAGCCAAAGCCCTGGGTTTATCTCGCAGCCAGGTAGCCTCAGGCCACCAAACCCACCGCTGGGCCTGTGGGACTCCTCAATGGCCTTTTTGGGGTGAGGGGCCCAGAACTGAACCCCCTCAGCAAGGGGCGGCCTCCCCAGTGCCGAGCCCAGGGCTCAGATCCCTTCCCTGGCCCTGCTGGCCACGCTACCACTGATTCTCTCCTCCCAGCCGGGCTGCCGGCATGCCAGAGGGGCAAGGACGGACGGGGTGGAAGCGCCGGAGGGAAGCTGCCCCCTGAGCTCTGCCCGTGCTCTGGGAGCTGCAGTGTCTGTGCCACGGCTCGGAGGAGCTCAGTCTCCACCCCGGGTTGCGCTTTTCCTTATATCACTTTCAGTGATGTTCAACATTTGTTCGTTCCGGCTGTAAAACCTCTCCTGGCTCTACCCCAGATATTTTCTCGCCTCGGTGCCTCAGCCAGCGCAGAGATAACTGTTGGAGTGAGTGCTGCTCAGACACGTTGGCCTTCGTGATTAAGCCGCGCTTTGTTGCGGGCGTGCAGGAGGGGTGGGAGTTCAGCCCCTGAGATGCTTTTGCTGATGTGGAGAGAGGTCGGTGGCCCCCACCCTGTGGTGCAGGGCCCTGTGTGAGGAGGAGGAGGAGGAGGGCTTTAAACAGGAACTAGGGGCCCAAATGATAACCATAGCAAAGCAAAATCTTGATCTGCTGGCCTGGGCCTGGGCATTTGGGGCGGGATTTCCATGTGTTGCGCTCGGGTTAGAGCAGAGCCGAGCTGACAGCCCTCCTGGGTGTGCACAAACCCCGTGAGCTCCCCCCTCCCCGGGCTCGCTCTCCTCTCCTTGCAAACAGGAGAAAGTGTAAAGCCTCCAGTGACTTTCCCCGTGCCCGCGGGGTCCCACCCGGGTCAGCCCGAAGGAGCCCAGCCAGCCCAAGGGCCGTCGGCAGCGCCGAGCGGCGTGGAGTTGGTTCACTTTATGACAGAGCCTGATGAAAACCCCAGAAATAGGAACACTTGAACCAGTTCCCACAGCCAGGTTAGTGCCCGAGGGTGAGGATGGCTTTGTGTATGGAGAAGGAGCCTCGGAGCCTGCTGCTCTGCTTACAGCACAACCTCACCTCGCAGGGCTCTGCTTATTTTTCCCTCCCAGTGAGGTAATAGTCTCCTAACCAGCCCAAAGCCCCTCGCGGGGTGCCAGCGGGGTTCGGGACACGGGGAAGTGATGTTCCCTGGAAGGTGGCTTCTGCTTCGCCTCGGTGCCCGCTCTGAAATCTCTCCCGGTGACCCAGAAATGGAGTGTGGGGGCTCTTACCGGGGCTGAGGACGAGCAGGGAGCGAGTGCCCGGGGCCACCCAAACACCCGGAGAACACTGAGGGCACCGTGTCCCCAGCTGCTGGCAGAGCCCCCCCACACCCCCCAGCTCTGTGCAGGGGTTTCACCGGCTGGGCCCCAAGCGGGGCTACCCCAGCACCTTCCCCTTGGCACCCTCCGTGGGATGGGGCTGGGACGAGCCCCCACAAACCATGACAGCACACACAGTGCCCCAGGGTGCTCCCTGGGGGGTGCGGGGACACAGGGGGGGGCTGGGGGTGGCCCCCGCCTGTCACATCCTGCTCAGGCAGGGGAGACCAATGACAGATTCATAAATCCCCAACGGAGTGGACAGCGGTGAGCCAAGCCCCAAACTCCACGCACAAGACTTTTTTTTTTTTTTTTTTTTTTTTTTC